CACACACACACACACACGCACACACACACACACACACACACACCTGGCATGAGTTTTAAGCCACTGGGTCTGGGACTTGAACCATGGTTGGCTGTGTGGGAGTCCAGTGACATAACCATTGAGCCATTTGTTGGCTCCTCAATTTTTACTTCGATGTGTTTTCTTTTTCTTTTTCATAGATTTTTGCTATAAGGTGCATGCACTCACTGGAAAGACAAAGAGAGAGAAAGTGAGAAGTCATCTCCTAGGGCTGATGGCCACACTGCAGTCCCTTCTCCATTCTTCTCTCGAGATTTTGAGCACACACACACACACACACACACACACACACACACACACACCTGGCATGATTTTCAAGGTGCTAGGTCCAAGACTTGAACTGTGGTTTGTCATGTGGGAGTCTAGCTACCTTAACCACTATGTCACCTGTGGGCCCTTTAATGCCTTTTTAAACAAGTAAAATGAACTTCTCTTAAGCAAATCTGTATGTGTCTCACTAATATTTTCCATAGATTCTGTTAGAACAGTCAGCGGGGTCTTCATTATGGTGCTTAAGTTACTGAATGTCAGCGTTTTTTATTTTTTTATTTTTTTGAGAGGTTTTTGCTATAGGGCTCATGCATTCACCAGAAAGAGAGAGAGACAGAGAGATAGAAAGCAAGAAATCACTCCCCAGGGGGTTGGCCATGCCGCAATCTTTTCTCCTCCAGTCTCCTCTTGGGATCTTGGGCACTCACGAACACATGTCCAGCGTGAGTTTAAGCTACCAGGTCTGGGACTCTTAACCATGGTCAACTACATGGGAGTCCAGCGACATAGGTATCATGCCAACTGCTGGTCCTGAATGTCAGTATTAATATTTTGGTGTTCACAGTTAACCATGTGATTTAGCATGCTGCATTTTGTGAGGGTGACATTAGAGGGTCCAGTGTTTCCCTTCATGGGAGCCCTGGAGATTAACCATAAATCATAAGCAGAAGAGTCAGTTTGCTAAAATGTGTTCTCCGTCCAGTGCAGTCTCTTAGAAACCCCATTTTAGATGCAGAATTAAAGCATTGCTCAGGTGCTTTACAGAATGAGACTGTCAGCATGACTGGGGGTACAGTCACCAGTGAAGGTGGATTTTCCTGAGAGCTGACTGGGCAACATCAGAGGATCTGAAACTGTGTAGAGTGTTCAAAACACTTGCCAGCGTGACGATTTAGGTTTTTTCATTGTCCTTTTAGAGGACCATAAGTATTACTTCCTTAGTATCTTCTGTCAGGGAAAATGTTTCAGCTCTCTCTCTCTTTTTTTTATAGCTGTCTGTGAAAGTGGCTGTCTCAACGGAGGAAGGTGTGTGGCCCCAAATCGATGTGCATGCACTTACGGCTTTACTGGACCCCAGTGCGAAAGAGGTAATGGTTTTTTTAAGATCATTTGCATAAAGACATTCAGGTGCCTAAAGCTGTCATCAGTTTGTACAGGCACTGGGTTTGTGCAGCTACTGGAATTTTGCTGAGCTTTGTGGGGGTTTCTGAATTCTCCCTGGGAAGGTGTCCGGGATGTCCAGACTGTGGCCCTGAGTCTAAGCATGTGACTAGGCAGTTCCTGCCAGTGAAATGCCATATCAAGAGTGAGGATGTGCTTAAATAAGAGTTGGCATCAAGAAAAAAAGAGGAGAATTTTCGTAAGGGTAAGGATTAAGCTTTTTCTTATCCTAGTAAATCAACAAAGTGTTCCTAGTAAATTAACTAAGTGTTCTTACATAAAACGTGTATAGAATGGGGAAAATTGAGAATGAAAAACACATCTAAAGATCTACCGACACGCTAAGGGCTATAGTAGTCTATAAGCTCAGCATTCAAACGTCATAAAAATATGGCGTGTCTGCTGAGAAACTGCTTTCTCAACTGCGTAGTTATTCAGTACTCAGTGCAGCCTACTGCGATGCATAGAATCACCCTCGCTTTTGTGTGTAAGACGACCACAGCTCAGAGAGGGCCAGAGGTGCCCCCAAGGCCACACACGTAATAAACAGCTTTACTTTGATTGAAGTGTTCTGACTTGAAGTCCAGTGCTTGCTGTTGCTCCCAAGTATAAGAAAATTCTTCCTGATTTGCCTGCCTCTAAATATGAACATGACATTGAGATCTGTGAGCACATGTGCAGTATTCTTGGTTTTCCCCTGAACTTTGATGGTATGAGTCACTTGTTTCTCCATTCAGATCCATCTTTTCATCGTTTCTAGTTTTAGAGGGAAGGTTTAGAAGGTTCATGTGACGTGCGAATGAAAAAAATCCCCAACGAGTTTCTGAACCATAGTCATCACGTTTACCCAAAGTTGGATAAGAATTTTTTACATTCTGACATGGAAAATAATGATTCAGTAGCAGATGTTGAATATATGTTACTTAAAACATATAGCAGAGAAAAACAAAGACTGGGGAGTGATACATAATAAATTATTTTATGTTTGTTTCTATTTTTACAACTTCACCTAAATTGTTACTTGCTAATAAAGCAACAGTACATATTTTAGCAAGGAACTCTAGGTCAATTACTATTTTTACTACATAAATTGTATCTTTTAATAAGACCACTGCATGGTATGACAGACTCTTGGCTCTTATATCTTGGCATTCTTTTGGAATCAGTCCTGAGAAGGCATGCTTCTCTTTAGCTCTTGTAAGATGTATTTTTAATTGATTCAGAGCTAATACATATCTAACCGTATCCGGAGTAATACAGACAGCTGTGTCTGCTAGGTAGTATCATTTTGTGGCCTTATGATTTATTCAGTGAAGACATTGTAAGAGATTAAGCTTGTTAACATGTAACTTGAAAAGTAGTGTGTGAGAGTTATTTCTCAGGTGATAATGCTGGGTTTAATTTGTTTTGAAAAAATTACTATTAAGATGAATTTGTGGGGCATTTTTCTTCTAACAACGTGATTTTATTTGCTGCAAAATATTTAATATATTGATACCTGTAGCTCAGATGTTGATAATAACACTGTTTAAAATAAGAAGGTTGTTGGGACAGCAGATGGCATAATGGTTAAGTTGCTAGACTCCCACATCGTTGACCATGGTTCGAGTCCCAGAGCCAGTGTCTTGAAACTCACGTTGGGCACATATGCATGTGTGCCCAAAATTCCAAGAGCAGAATGGAGGAGAAGGGATTGCAGAGTGGCCATCTCTCCTGGGGGAGGGGGATGTGATTTCTCACTTTCTCTTTGTCTTTCCAGCAAGTGCACATGCCCTGTAGCAAAAAAAAAAAAAAAAAAAGAAACCTCTTAAAAATAAATAAATAAATAAAATAAAAAGGACATGATACTGAGTCACTCTACAGTTATTTCTTTGAAGATTTAATCTTTGTCCAAGATTAAGAAATGGCCTGAATAGGTTATATTACTAAACTACTGATCAAAACTGACATGATTCTCAGGGGCTTCTCTAAGTTTTGTGGTGTCTTTAAAAAAAATTTTGTTTTAGGGGTGGGGCCAGCAGGTGGCATGGTGGTTAAGGTGCTGGACTACCACATGACTAACTGCAGTTTGAGTCCCAGACCTGGCAACTTGAAAAATCACACTGGGCGCTGGACGCTTGTTCGTGTGTGCCCAAAATTCGGGGAGGAGGATGGAGAAGGAATTGTG